GAGAAAAGGCTTACTATTGAAAAGTATGTAGAGTTGAAAAGTTTTCTCCTTCTTAGTTGAGTGTTTCTTTTAAATGTGTTGCTGCTACATTTGATGTTTTAGATATATAGTATAGTGAGTTGAAATGTAGAGTTAAAACGAAATGTTTTATGGTATGTCTTTGTGATTCATCTATGAAAATGTAAATGTACTCCGATAGTGTTGTAAGTTGCTTTTCCTAACCCGAGTTCAAGCTTTGTTTGGGAAAGGTATAGATTTATTAATAGGTGTTCACACAAAATTACAAATCACACAAATATAAACTTGTAAAATCTCACTTAGATAATCACTCACACATGTACCAGACTTCCATACAAACCATTTGCTTCATTAATAATGTGATCTAACAAATGAGTCAGTTTTACCAGAAAGAGTGTCTTTTATAGCTTTCAAAGACTCTTCATTTTCATCACAAAGATTGTGAGGATCCGGTATGACAGTTGGATCAACCACGATTGAAATAATCATCTTCTCCGCGTAACTTATGAAATGTATCGACAATGCCTATACAAAAGATAATATAAGATGAAAAGTCGAAAGGATCTCTTCATGATTACTGTTACAAACTTATCATTTAAGTTTTTCTAAAAATAAAAAAAACCGTACTTGTGAATGTCTAGTTCCATAGCTGCTTAGAGCGATGTAATCTAATTGCCGAGTAAACTTACTTCTTCGACAGGGCCAATTATGTTTGAAAATGTTGTTGTTGTGTTCTGATCGTTTGAAAAATACTGCTCCTATCTACAATAACATGAGTGCCATATAATGTCCTCGCAGTGAAAAAGTAAACAACGTTGAGTTCACTTATCTCAAAATATACCTTAGGTCCGAAAATATTGAAGATGAACTCGTTATTTGAGTAAAGCAGAGCATGGATAAGAGAATGCTTCTTTCGATCCATTATAGATTTAGTATTTGAAGACTAACCAATGGATCTGTTTCTAAACTAATGGAGAACAGAAAAATGAGCGAAGCCGGTGTAGTTTCCCCATCTGCATTTCGAACCCTTCGCCAACATATCCGCCACAAGCTTCATGCAATTGTTTTATTAAGTTAAAGGTTAATTAAAGTCTTTACAGTTCTTTGACCAAAAAAAAAAAGTCTTTACAGTGAAGGTTCAAGTTAAGGAGTGTGTATCTCTAACTTGGATCCTAGTCTCTTGCCTAAAATTGATTGGAACACATGCTTGAAACCGTATTCTACTTGGAAGATTGTTCATATCTGATGTTGATGTTCCACTCTCAACATCTGTGTTGCCTTAATATTTTTTCAAGAAACAACACACACACACATGCAAGCTGTTAAACTTAGTTTAGATGCATTAGAGCATGATTATCGGTGGTTATTATGAGTAAAGATAGTGAGTTATTATGAATTAAACCCATTTAAATAAATAAAAATGGGCTTAAAAACATATTACCGGTTCTAAAACTGGGCTTTATATTATCGGTAAATATACTGATCTTGCTTGCTTCTGATTGGTCGAAATTAATAAAGAAAAGGAAAAAAAAATTGAACCCACGCGTTTTGTTTTCAT